CAGTTTGGTGGCCTGAAAGAAACTTGTGGAGGGATGCAGGTATATGAAAGAGACTCAGTGAGGAAGTGGAGGATGTGTGAAGTCAGAGCCAGGGGGGTGAGGAGAAGGGAACCTTGACTGTAAGGAGGAGAACAGGTGGTGGACATGGATAGTATGCAATGGAGAAATGAGGCAAGTACAATCTTGGGAAAAAAATAATGAGGTAGTAAGAAGACATTCTTCCAGCCTTTCTTTTTTGTAGGTTGAGATCCAGGTTGCTTTCTGCACAGCAAATCATAGTGAATCCACCTTATACTTTAAAAACTGGACACTCACTAATAAGGTCTGGCCTAAACAGCTTTTTTTCTGTAACATTTCCAAAAGCCTCTAGAACTGGTGGAGCCACATCGCTGTTATCAACAGCTTTTTTTTTTTTTTTTTTTAAGAAAGAAAGGATAATATAGAAAAGCTCCGCCCAGTGCCAAGCTTTTCCTCACAATTTAACGTACTGAAAGTTTGTAATATCAGCAGTTTCTCTTTGCTCGTAATCCAGACCTTGTCGTACAAGATGGGCTGAGATCCATTTGCCAAAAGAGTAAAGGTATCTAGTCAGAAACTGTTAGCAATCCTGACGTGGGCCAAAACTGAAGAACTGAATGTCCATCTCAATACTTAGGACTTTCAAGGGACGCTTTGTAAAAGCAGAACAGATGACAGTCAAAGGCAGCAGGCTGTTTGTTCAAAGCAGTGCACAGCTATGCTGTGTGAGAGGAAAGCCCAACCATCACCAGTTCAAATGATGTGCCTTTTGCATTAAAGGGCCAGCAGATCTAAGAATCATGTTTTGTCTTTAGCAAAAGGAGGCATTTTCATCTAAAATCTCATAATCCAATACATTAGGTATTTCACCACCCTTCACTGAAATATGCACGCCCTGAGACTATTTTCATAGCTAGAAAAGCAAGAACAGATTTTCTCTGCATACACCAAGGACTCAGTGCTTCCACTCAAGTATCACCAAAGAAATCGAATGAGTGCACTGACCTGCACTAGATTTTAGCTCTTAGAAGTGATCTAATCGGAGATGCTTTTATCATCTGTAACAAATGGGCTAAACAAATCAAGAAACAGATTATGGGAAAATATTTAAAGTAAAAAAGACAAAACAAACAAAGAAAAGGAAAAGAAGTAGTGAAAGAAAGTGACAAGGTATTATATGAAAGCACAGTGCTATGCTGAAAATAAACTGAGAATTCTCAAATGGAAAATGAAAAAAACCGAAACAGATTAAACAAGTATTTTTATCCATCCTTCCAGAACAGTGGAAGAAAGTATTTACCTGTGTGGGAAATCCAGTCAACAAGGACAGAAATCAATGAATTAAATGTTCAGCATTTCATCATTTCAGTTATTAAAAAATTAGAGAGTCTTCATAATGACAAGATGTCAGGACCAAGCATACTCTGCATTGAGGAAAAATAGTGAGGCCGGGAGACAGAAACTGAAGAAGCCTTAGTTGACATTATCAAAAGCTGACTTAATTCAGGATATACCCCTAAAGACTAGAAAACAACAGTATAAGGCACCAGTAACACACCAGAAAATCAGAGACCAGACATCTCACTGCCAGTTGTGGGAGCACTCAAAGCTGTAAGGGGATCAAGAGGTGCAATGTCTGCTACAGTGAAGCACTGCCTGGTCAGGAGCAGCCGATGGCTGGGGTTCCCTGTGACTGCTGCTGCCAGGGCAGGTGAGGTGCCGCAGAGCAGACAGCATGGGGCTTTTCGGGGAGTGCTTGCATGGGGCTTTTCGGGGAGTACTTGCTGCCCACCTTGGCTTTGCGGGCAAAAGTGGGAGCCCAGACACCTCTGCCTACCCAATCATGCTTCGGAGAGGCCTAACGCTGCTCAGAAGGAGGATTCCCATGGGATCAGCACTGCGCTGACAGCTTGCGCTGCAGGCAGGCATCACTCAAATGTAGTCAAGAATACACAGTTTGTGCTTTCCCTTCTAAGATTTCCCTGAATCCTGAATTCCTCCTGAATCACTCAGAACTGGTTACTACAAAGCTTTGCAGTCAAATCACTTGATGATGAATTGTAATTAGTTCAAAATATATTAGAAGAGAATTTGAATTGCACTTAAGAGTTTGCCTGTCCTAATGTCTCCTGTTAATTAATTGAACTGTTTGAATAAGTGATTTTAATGGACTGTTTCATTTTACATTGATGCAGAACATTTTATGGAGCTTAACATTATTGAATAAAAAGTGGGGAACAGACATTTCCTGTCAACAAAATTTTACTTGTTCATATGAAGATGAAACATTGAATTTTTCATTTTTATTTTTTAAGATTTATTTGATAAGTAGAATTATATTTTAAAAACTTGGAATTTGAAGGAGAATAAAAGAATTAAAAAACTAGGAAGAATAGAAAAAATAGTTTAAAATGTCAAAGTGAAGCATTTCAAAGGCCTCTGAAATGTGGGTTCAGGCTTTCTTAGGCTAAAAGAATTTTGATAAGTGACAGGGTTTTTGAAAGTATTTAGTCAATCCAAATTGCATTTAAAATACTCTGACAGACAAATTTTATGTAGCTCTGCTACAGTAAAATTGCAGAATATGGTTTATATTAATATACTTAGATTAACCATCCATATAGTCAGTATACATGGATGAATATATCATATCAGCAATATTCTTCTAAACATCATACATTTATCATATCCATACAGAAACATCATATCTGCACATTTAAATAAAGTAATTGAGTATGTAATTGGCAGTGGTTAACAGTAGCCATTTTTATGTGCTTGTAGCAGTTTTAATATGAGCAGATGGGTGCACTGATACATTGGAGTAGATGAATAAAGCAAAGTGTGCTAAAATTTGCAGTCAGAGCATAAAGCAGAATTTGTGCCAGTATTGCTAACCTAGGGCACATAAATCCCAGAAGGCTGGCTTGAAGTGATCTGGTTTGTAGACTGCATTTTTCAGATTAAAATAAAGAAATGGGCAGTTTCTTTTGCATTAGTGATCTGATTTTCTTCTTCAGTCTGCAAGGATATTTTTTCTTTCATAACCACAAATAGAGTTATTCTTTCATTTAAAAAATAACTTTGAGAGCAGGTACTCATTTTTGAAAGTACCCTTTTGAACCCAAAGTTCTTGGGCACTGAGAGAGAATTCAAGACATTATCATTATATACATGCCTGGCTCTCCAATTTTCATTATGGGCCACTGCCAGAGACAGGACACTGAGTTTGGTGGGCTTCAGCTTGCATCCCTGTGACTGGTCTTATATATACACATACTGTGTCCTTGTTATGCTTCAGATGCCAAGAAACTTCCCATTTATAAAGGACAAATGCTACATTTGAAGTCCCTCCCTTCATAGGTGTCCTTTGTAGAGCTGTCAGTGTAGGTACACTTGGAGCAAGAAAACAGAACTTTTCATGTGTGCAAGCCATGCTCCTCTCTTGGAAATGCCAACAACAATATCCAGAAAATTGCTGCTTCATCATATTTTTTCAGAATTTCATACCAGAACTCTGAACTGGGCATAGTCTCACAATCAGTTTATTTCTTCACCTAGCAAAGGGAAAAACTCATTTCCTTTTTCCAAAAGAATGTGTCTTTCACAAGGAATCTTTCACTGCAGCTATCAGTGTCACTAGGAAGTGAAAACTTTCAGCAAGATGCAGGAAAATGTTACTTATTATATCATCACAACTCTATAGGCCTGATCACTTGAGGTATATAAAAAAAATGAACATTTCTGTAATTTTTTTAAAAACACGTAGTTAAGCTAGTGGAAAATGAAGAGGTGTATGTCTGACACTGAAAAAAAAAAACATTTTGTAACTCATTTCATTCTGCTTTTTGAGAATTCTTTCTGTAGCAGCTTTCTTGTCACAGTGCTCATACATACAAAGGAGCTGTTTCCAAGCAAACTATTGCAGCTAAAAAGTGCAACAGCTATTCAGCACTAACTTTCTTCACCTGGTTGCTCTTCTTTAAATATACCTACAGGTTATTTTGGTTAGTCCCCTTCCAAAGCAGAAGTTAGTGCAGAATGGCTAGTCTGAGTGATTTCTGATGTAGACAAGACACAAAAAAATTCCGCTCAGTAGAGAAGATATTTCCTGCTTCTAACAAAGACCGAACATTGGCGGGCCAGACGCGAGACAATACTGTTTTTTAGTAGTTGCATCCTTTAATGACAATTACAGTTCAGCAAATGTGACTCTTATTGGTTTGTATAAAAACACTGAGTTTTTTTCAATCCAGGTACATTTCCAGAAGGAAATCTGGACAACTGACTCATGTAGACTGTGTCCTACTTCTTTGCCGGTGGTGCTGTCAGCTGACACCTGGGCTGGGATTTATCTACCATACCTCTATGAGTGTCAGCATTAGGCACTTAGTCTAAACTAGATGGCTGCTCCCCTCCCTGTAACAAGCTCATCCAAGGTTCCTCCCTTTTTAAGACAGGCACCTAAGACAAACGGGAGGGATTGCCTTCTGGAAGTCTTTTTGCATTTCTGCATCGACCTTAGGGGGACTAGTGACTAGTTTAAATTAGGCACTTGACAGAGGGACAAAAGTAGGTGAAATGAATTTATTAATGCTTTGGATTAAAAAAATTATGCTGGGGAAATATACTACATTATATAAATTGTAAAAAGGCTATCCCACAGGACTAATGTATGCAAATAGGGTATAAATATTTTGTAAATTTCAGATAAGATATCTGTCAGTGAAATTATTATGAGCATGGAGTTGACTACTGTCTGTCAAGTCATTCAACTAAAATATATTAAAGCCTCCAGTGAATGTGAAAGCATTGTGCCCCAATTCCCCAGTCCAACTGATGCAAGCCGACCTTCCTCCAAGCTCCATCAGTGTTAATGAGATCCCACACAGTTACAGTGGTCTGCAAATAACAGACTGCAGACCACCACTGTTGCTTTGTGGCTTCATATTCCCTGAATTTTTGGGGTAAAGAAAGGAACTTACCTGTTCAAATCACGATGTATGATTGGTTGTGTGAGATTGTGGAGGTACTCCATGCCTTTGGCAACATCTACAGCAATGATTAATTTAGACTGCAGATCAAGGGTTCTGTATTTCGGAAAAAATATAATATTACTCAAAGTTAATAAACAGACAAGAATCATCTGTAAATTATTTTTATCTGTAAATCATGGAAATTTTAAAACCATTTTAAATACAAAATAATGTTATATAATCTATGTAATGTAAATGCATATAATGTAAAATAATGACTAAATAACAATTTTGTGATTACTTATTAATTTCCCTTGTACAACAAATAATCTGAATCAAAGCTAAAATTTTTCTAGTGTGTTCCCTTCTCTATTGTTTTATACTGACATGAATAACATTTACATCAGCATAGGTTTACTAGTCTTCTGGATCCTGTACCACAAGCCTAAGCAGAGAACGAGCAGAATACCTCTTCTGTTCATGAAGCAGGGAGAAGAGCGATCCTCCAGAAATATACTGAGTGACTATAGCAAACTGACTTGGGTCATCTAAGCAAGCTCCCACAAACTGGATGACACATGGATGATTCAGTCGGCAGAGAATGGAAACTTCACGGCAGAACATGTCCACATCAGATTTGGAGCAGTAGGTATTGGCTCGATAGCTTAGAATTTACATGAGAGAAAACAGGCAAAAATATAATAAAATATGGTTTTTTTAATACTTCCAACTAGATCATTAACCAAAACAAGATGGAACAGTCTGATAAACTTACCGTTTGATTGCAACAATTTTATTTCTGCATCGTCCCTTATATACTTTTCCAAAAGAACCTAAAATGGTTTAGAATAAATAAGCACAAATTATTATGAACATCAGCCATTTAAAACAAATGGGTTCTTATTTCTGGTACCTGAGCCGATAATCTCATGGAACTCTATTTCAGAGAGCTGAAGATGGAAATGTGATGGCAAACCAGCACGGAGGAGAAGAACATCTGCCTTTTCTGCAAAAGAAAACACTTATTCTATTTGTAAAATGCGGGGTCATGGGGAAGGAAAGAATATAAGCATTTAACTTCACAAAACCATTGCACAGTAAAAGCTGATTTTCCTCCTGTAAATTGGTTGACTGGTAATCCTATTCCCTTTTCTTTCAGTAACCACAGTAAACCCCAATAACAGACAAATACTTGCAATGTGACAGTTGCCTTGGGCTTTCTTGGCTTTAAAATCTTATCAGTGATGAACACTGTCCCATAAGCATATTCTGCCTGTATCATGTCATGGTTGTGTAAAATTCTTTATACGGAGAATTATTTCCTTTTTTTCTGTATAGCTAGTGCTCGTTACTGATGCAGGGGATGTTATTCCAGATCTGACTGACTACTTAGTGACATGTGGAATCTAAATTTTGCAACTTAATTTAGCAAACTTCTCTACCTTGTTGATCTTTTTGGTTTATTACTATAAAGTTTATCAGAATATTTCTAAATGGAACATTTCAATGCTGCTATATAAAGGATGTAAGGATTTGATTATATCCAGAGTGAATATTTGAAGTGGAAAATTGAAAGCACCATGAAAAATGAAATAGTTTAAAGTACAAATATTCATCTGAAACTCTTATCTATACGTGTTTCAGATTAACACAAATTATTTCTGGACAGAATTTTTCTTGTAAAGGTAATCCAGACATTTTACAGTGGAATTCAATACAATATTTGTCTGCATTCATGTATGTGTGTGTATTTAATTAGTACTAATTCACATTCACATCCTTTTCTCTGAAGAAATAAAAATAAATAATTTTTTTAAGTAAATGAAAGTAAGATAAATACAGGAATTATCATGACGCTGAGCAACAAAGCTAAGTATATTGTTTCCTAAAATTATCCTAGGGAAATATAGCTGGTGCTTATGCACATTATTAAAATTCTGAACAATGAAAATTGTGGGAATAATGAATCTTGCGTAGTATGTTTAAGCTGACAAACACCTTGGATAAAAACACCGTAAATGTTCAAGTTTTCCCTTGCCATTGAGAATACCTTTAGTCATGCTTTTAATCTTTCCTAGAGGGGATGGAACTGACACATAGGAACCATCTGAAATAAAAGAACAGAATGAATTTTATGGAATTCAAAGAAAGAATAAGCATCTGTACTGATAAATTAATGAGGCCAATGATTGCTTTAAGAATGAAAAATAAGGGGGTGAAAATACACATAAGCACACAAACACATATGATTGTGGCATTATATTGCTGCATTCTTGAAAGTAATTTGTATATAGTTTCACTAAATGCTGTAGAACGATACTGACTTTCACTGGTGTTGAAGAAGGCCAACATAGCCTTTTATATCAGCTAGATTCTGTAGAGGAACTCAGATCAGATTCACAAATTCTGACAACTGGGCTGCAAGCATATTGCACTGTTTAGTTCACTGACTAGATTTTCCAAAAGACCTCAGCTCTCTCCATGTACCAAAAATTTAATCTCTTGTTTTTCTGCTCAAGTGGGAGCTGAGTTCTTTTAACAATCAGCATTAAAAAATCTGGGTGTGTTAACTGCTTGCCAAAATAAATTTCTAATATATGCATAAACTTCGTCCCCTAAAGATTTACATACACTTGAGAGATACTAAACCTGAATCTGGAACAGCTCTGCAGAGCTGGAAATGTAGGAAGAAGATTGATCCTGCTGCTGACTGTTTCCATGGCAGGAGGAGTCAATGACCTGGACAAGCTGCAATGTACAACATTTTCACCCTCTCTGTAGACAGCATTCTCAACACACTGCAAAATGTTCTGTTTATCAAGTGCTTACATCAACGTTCGTCTTGCTACTTGTCTTTTAGTTGCAAATACAAATGAGTGTTTTTGTAGCAAAAAGGGTAATTCATTTTCCCCGAAGGGGAATTAGATATCCAAAGATGTTAAAAAATATGAAGGGGATGGAGTATAGAAATATACCGAATGTCAGTAATCAAAGAAACATCAGAATTAAACACAAAGAGAATGGCTAAACAAGGTATTAAGGATATAAAAAGGTATGAGTAATGATTACTAGGGATTGATCTGCATCTCACAGTTTTTAGCTTTTCTTTCTAGTGAGTAATATAAACTGACAACTCTTTTAAGATAAAGGAAGAATTTTGACATAAATAGAGGGTACCTAGAAAATGGGGATTCTCATGACACTAATTTTCTTTGTGCCAGACAGAATTGATCCAAAGCTCCCTGACATCCGTGGAACATTCCCAGAGACTTCAGTGGTCTTTGGATCAGACCCTTCAGTTAGAAAATAAAGTGATTTCTCAGATCATACCTCCTCCAGGTTGTGAGTATTCATTACAGGGTGATTCATCTTGAGGTCTCTTATAATGCTTCAGAAGGGTCACAATGGCATCATGACCTAAGAAAGAAAAAGGAAATATAAAGATTTGCAGGTAAACACAACAGCTGCCTTTTTTTTTTTTTTTAATTGATTTATACAAAATCAGAGGATTTAAAAAAAAATGTACAATGTGCCTATAAAACATATAAACAAAGGTACAGCGGCGCTAATCTGAAACATACTATGATTCTTAACCACAGAAATATAGGGAAATACCTGACAATAAAAACAAACATATTATTTTCATGAGCCCACCTAATCCTAAGATGTGATATAGGGCAATAGAAAAAACCCTGCTACAGAAATCCTAAAATGGAAGTTGACAATAGTCTTCAATAGGCCTTACAAGGACAACCTGTGCCTGAAAATATTTCAGTTCTCGTGTCTGAAACTGGACAAAATTTGCACACTACATTGCTGTAGGCAGTTGCTATGCTCATTATTCTCCTTTGCAAGGAACCAGAAGAGAGTGGTGTATGCACAGCGTGCTCACTCTCTTGGATGTTTGATGCACAAAGTTCTGCTTGGCAACATTCAAAATTCTTTTCGAAACCTTTCAAAGATGAGTTTTCCCTCAGTAATTTCATACAGAGTATCTTGCCAATATCAGGTTTTTGAAAGGCCTTTGAAAGCCATAGTTTTACTATATTATAGTCATTTTCATAATAAATGGTACTGCAATGCTTTTGGAGGAGGGGGGAATGTCCCAGAATCCTCCAACTTTAACTTGTATTTTACCACATCCCCTAGAAAACATATGGGAAAGAAAAGCATTTCTGAGGTCTTGATTTGTGCTCACTGTAAATGGCTAGGCTCAGCACTGCTTATTCGTACACCCAGGCCGATAGGAAATGCTCCTGTTTGCTGCTTACAAAGATGAGAGCAGGCAAGAAGAGGAGGAAAAGATACACATTTGTACTGAGGCCATGATGCTTGGATCACGTACCAAATGCCACCTATCGTTTCCTGCTTCTTCGGTTGCAAAGTTTGTTGGCATTTCTTTAAGGATATTTTTCACTAATACCCTAATAAGTACAACCTTTTTGGCTTATAATAAGCCAGGGAAAGCCCAGTAAGCCCACAAGTTACAGAAAGGTTGTTTGCTAGATCTTCTAGGGTCCTGAGAAAACCTTACAACTCCAACTCTTAAGAATGCTAGAGAAAACAGACAAGGCAGAGGCTTTCTTGCTGAGTCTCATCCTGTTATCAGAAGTTACCTTCAACAGAAAAGAAGTCCTGCTGACTCACTAGGCTGCCAGGGACATGAGCTCACACCAAAGAGTGTCAGCATGATGGAAAAATTCTCTAAAACATAGGAATTTAAATCAAGGAGAGGTTTTTACAGATAGCAGCTTTCTGGACATCCAAACTCAGAGGATGCTTGAACTAAACTTTTGAAGTGTTATCACTTAAATTGACATAAATGTTAACCCAAAGAAGCTGAGTTGCTTCTTTACCAAAGCAATGAAGAGACTGCTTAAATAGCCTTCCACAGTCCATAGGGGTTGAATGGCAATGCCAGGAAGAATAAAATGAAGGATATCCCACATAAATACATGTCTCTCAAACACCGATGAAATCCATAAATGGATGTGAACATCAAAAACATTTTCAGGAAGAAATAAAACTTTTTATTTGCATGGAGTCAAAAACAGGACAGAAAATTGACACATTGCTGTACATATAGAACAGTATAACAGGAACTATGCCAAATGCCTTGCTTTGATCTATATTTGCAAAAATTTAAGATTACGACTGATTCATCGCTCCTTGCAATGCCTCCTTCAGTAATAAAATCAAAACTCCTCATGCACATACCAAAGGGAGAAATAACCTTTTCTGAACAGCCTGTATGTTTTCTATTTTAGCAGCACATAAATACTCGTGTCCTTGAGTTTCTGTTGAATTAAACTGGTGTTTAACAGAGTATCTGAGAAGATAAAGAAAAGGGCTGTTTTTTATAACTATTCATGCCAGGAACTGGAAAGCTCATGGTGAGAGCTCTTAGTCTACAGGGACTGAGGGGTTATTTTGTACTGTTCTCTCCTTCCTGTACTGTTCTTACGCATTGTGTAGCAGAAACTAGAAAATTGATATACCTTTCTCATAAGCCCACATCAAACAGGTCTGCTCATCCTTTTCTCCACTGGACCTGCTGGGATCACAAGCTACCAGATTCATATCTGCTCCATTATCCAGTAAAAACTGTACAAGTCGAATATGACCATGGTAGCAAGCACAGTGTAATCCTAGAACATCAGAGAAGCACAGTAAGCAAAACTGTCAGAACATCATGACAGGACTTGCAGAAACAACTAAAAAGCACGAATTGATTTCCTTGATGAAGGAATATATTATCAAAAAAATACCTGAGGCAATAGGTAAAAATAAAATATTAATGCTGCAAGAACCAATCTATTGCCCGCTATACAACATGTCAGCATTTACTCTACCATCTGCAAATCATATTTAACAACTTTGTATGTGAGGAAAAGCAAGTAGAAAAAAAGAAGGCTCTTTTTTTTGTTGCCTGTAGTAGGGTCATGGAGGTATGCAGCCCTTCAGACACTATATCCTATAGGCCCAGATCCTAGCAGAATAATACTTTGGCCCAATTCTTAAAACTGCTTAGAAGCCTAACTATGGGACAATCAGTTTACATCAGGTTTTGTTACTCATATACAAGCTAACGAGCCTGACACATCCTCACCAAACTCATAACTTCTATGCCACCCTGCAATGTATTTCAAAAAAGTTGAGATCTGTCTGAAAGGTAATTGCATGCTGATCATTGAATTATCATGGGAATTACCCTAGAAATCCTGATTGTGTATATGGCTTCCAAATTTTTTGGTGCTGGCATAGGCACTCATACACAATAAGGATGATGATGTTACCTGTATGTCCATCTCTTCCCTGGTGATTGATGCTTACAATATTCTGGTCAAGAAGAAATTTTACAAGTTCTATGTTCTTTCCATATGTGCAAGCACTGCAAAAATAAAGGGAAAAGTGAATGCTGTAGTCCATAAAAGGACAAATACTTTGGGTAGCCAAAAATTTAAAAAGAATTACACAGAGATAGAAACGTAGTAATAGAATAAAGGATCTTTAGAAATGTGCAAATACATATTAATCCACCAAAGCATGTTCATTTCTGTAATTTCAGAAACATTCTGATTATTATTGTATAAATTAATTTTGCACAGCTATGCAAAATTAATACAGTCAGTTTTGCAAAGTGCCTCTTAAATAACGCTTTACAAACTTACAGCATCATGACCAAACTGTGTTCTGCCACCTCATTTCTAATTTAGACTATCTAGACTTCAGCAGGTTTCTAGGCAGAGCAGGCTCTAAACTCAGCTTCCAAACTATACAGAAAGAGAAACCATTATTCATACAGATGTTGACGAACCTGATGCCTTCCCTACCTTTCTCTCTCTTGCTTGCTCTCTCTCTCCCCATTCACTATCTGGTTCTACCTCTTACTTCATGTCCTCTCCTGTATCTCAAGATACAAACTAAACATCCATGTCAAGCTCACTGCTTTCTTTGTTCCTCATCTGGCTGTTGGTGAGACATTTGTTATTTTGGGTGTCGTATTGCATGCATGTATAAGTGGAATTCTATTGATAATAGCTTTTTAAACATCTCACCTGTGGAAAGCCGTTTCACTGAATATATTTTCTTTAGTGAGACTTTCTGTTCCTGAGAGCTGAATTATTTCCTTGACAACTTCAAACTTTCCATTGTAACACGCACTGAAGATGAAGACAGTAAAGAGTTGTTAACAATACCAGCTTTCTAATTAGGCCCAAACCACGTAAAACAGAGCTTCTCCACGTGACTCACAGATGTAAAGGTGTGTCTCCATAGATATTCACCACATGGGGTTGAACTTCGAAGCTGCTCTGGAGTAAAAACTTTACAATTTCATGGTGTCCAAATCGACAGCAGAAATGCAGAGGAACGTGATCTTCATTGTCCTGAGCATTCACTGTCATTTGCCAGAAAGAGACCAAAGAAAGTAATTTATACTTACATAGCTTGTTCTGGATATTTAGTAATGCTTTGTGTGTTGCACATATATGTTTTAAAACCTCCTG